CTGTATTAAAGTTTTTTTTTCATTACCCATTTAAGCCGTCTCCAGCCATTATTATATACTTTGTCTGTAAATTCGGCATTGTTGTTCAGAAACAATAACTATGTTTATGATTGAATTAAAGTATAGAATTACTGGAATTATTAAAATAGGTTTTAAGGATACTTTGCAAGTTATAATGTTTTGTACCCTCATAGGTTTTCAAGGGTAAAACAAGAAACTCACCGTTTGGCCAGCTTTTGTGTGTTTTGGTTCCACTTCAATTTTAATGGAAGATGGTGCGACTGTTAATAAATGATCAAATAAAACAGATATATAAATATAACTGATCCTATATCAAAATTATACATTACAAAGCAAGATCGAAAATAATTTACAAAATTTAGTTTAAGTATTGGTAGACAAAGGTAGAGAATGGCATTTGAAAATGATAATAAATCATTGATATTTTAATATCAAAAAACAAAGTAATATGAAACAATTGAAAATATTTTCACGGAAAACTGCCTTCAAAATACTTATTAGAATTTAAAAAAAAAGCTAAAAACTGGATTAAACTATAATTAAAACACTCCAACTTGATGACGCCACGCAACAACGGCGAAACATTGAGTCTTTGCTTTAAAATATTTAAAAGATTTAATACGATAAAGCTTATTCGCAACATTATGATGTTTTTTTGTGCTTATCAGCATTGAAAAGTAATATATGCATAAAATATTACTAATATTTAGATTTAATAGCTTAGTTTCAAATTATTAGCTGCTAATTATTCTTCAGATATGTGAGACAATCCACTTGTCTTGTTTTTACTGAACAAAAGGATTCCTCTTTGCTTGGCACGAAAAGTTGACTTCAACAGAATAACAATTTTTCGTTTTGCTTCTCTTCGCTACGATCGATATTTGTATCTTCTGCAAACACGCTTAAGAAAATTCTGTCAATAGTTCCATGTTCGGAAAGGAGTGTCCTTTCCAGACGAGAAACATGGCTAGTAACATGTAATCACACTACTCGTGACCAACACGTATCGCAATTTGTACCTGTCGTTTATTTATGCTAAAAAGCAACTTTATACTAAATTGGTTCCAATTATAACATGTATATTTTTATTATATCCATTTTTACACGCATCTGACCAATATACAAATCAATAGTCACAAAAATATCTTACATAAAACTGTTGGAGTCACATATGTCGCAAGAGGGCGCAGTGTAGCTGGATTTGAAGCCTCACACCTGTATACCGCACCATTATCACTTGAGTCCGCACGAATATCCAAAATATGAGAAATCCCTTTCGGTATAGCTTGAGCGGTACCACCTACCTGTTTAAGCAAACAATGTGAAAAACTGGATTGTAAACTCATAATTGAACAGAAATAGCATTTATCTCATGCGTAAATTAATAGAGATTTGACTTATAATTTTATTCGTTCTGTGAACGACATAGCGTTAATTCAAGCTAAAAGATAAACGCATATTTTAGTCTTTTTCAACAATTTCGGCTGATGTAGAAAAAACCTACAAAAAATGACCTTGCTTGTTCTAACCTAATTTACTATATTTTCAGAAATGTAAAAAAAATTAACAATAACTTTCCTCTAATGTTCTTGATGTGACGTTAATCTGCCAAGTTATGAATAATGATATTTTCCGGTTAATTTACCTAGAAACTGAGTAAAACATCTAATTAAAACAACATTATGCTTACCAAATCATAATCAGGCACGTAAATAGATACACGAATCAAAAACTCGTATATTAAAAGTAGCAAAAAGGTCCTTATTTTTTCCCCATTTCAAGTATTTAATCACAATCTGTCACCTTTTAACGCGTGCAATGTATCAAGTGAAGTATAAAATAACAGATCATCCAAATAAGTAGCAATAATCACGAAGTTCAACATGTTAATGATTTTTGCGATAGTAACATGTGCTTTTCGTTTTTTTGTTTTTTTTGTTTAGCCGTCCGGTGGCTCAGTGGTAAGTATGAGGGTTTCCATACACAGTTAGCCCATTGTGTAGTATTGTGCATATATATAACATTAAGTACACACTAAACTTACGCTTTAGTTGACAATCCTCTTTTAAGATGTTCATCAGCAATTATACTTTATTTTGTTGTATTTTCATCACTTTGATGGAATAAAAACTATCCCTCAGAAACATTACTTCTTTTACTCTTCATCATCAGAAATATTGTTACATTTCCGGAATATTCAATTACAGATTATATTATACAACCAAAATTACCTCCGATAGACAAAGGATACCAAAATGGTTGTATCTTGCTTCATTAAAGAGGTGTTACTTTAAGTGTCCTATATATATATGGGACACTTTATTAGTTGTTTAGATTATAACATCGAGATGTGTAAGATTTTATATCAAGTTGTATATATATATATATATATGATATAAAATGTACATTTGTCACACACACACACAAAGCTAAGCAAACTAAAATACAACAGAATACTTTATTTCTAACTAAAGAAAAATTTACATTGTATCCCATGGAAAAATATACTTTTGGACTGTTACAAACTAAACTCGTGGAAAACAGCCACTTTTGAAAAACCTGTTGACCGCATTATACTACCTCTGCTTCCCCTTTGAACCACCGAAGAGTTGCTACGGGATTTCCCCCATAGGAAACACAGGTAAACCTCTGAAAATCCCCAGCTCTTATTGGCTTGTTTTGAAAGTCTTGAATCGATGGGTGACCCGGTGGATCTGAAAACAACAAAATAAACAATCAAAGAAAGTAAGTTTCTGAAGTACTTAGTGTGAATACACTACGTGGATTAAAGACAAAACTTTACTAGCGGCTGTTTTAGTAAAATAAAATGGAGTTATCACCAGAATGCAACCGATATATATTTTAGTTTCCTATCATAGCATTTTATATTGTAGAATAAGACAGATATTAGATAACACGTTTTCTATTTTCATCGAAGTGTAGTTCATTTTAGCTTTTCACATCAGTTAAGTAAAATGTAATAAATATGCATCATCTGTTTCACATTTTCTATTATTGAAGTTTAATGAAAATAATTTCATATCTAGCATTTTATAATTGTTTAGGAAACGGGTGGTAATATTCAAACAAACTGGATTTAGTTATTCAATTTCACACCAGTTTCTGACGATACATATTTTATTATTAGACGCGAATCTTATAAAAATAACATACTTAACGATTAGCTATTGTAAAAAGAACACTCACAAAAAACAAGGCATCTAAGGAAAAAATAAAACTGTTGTCCGTACCTCTTTTAAACACATGAAACACATTAAAATTTACACAAGAATACAAATATATGATAAATATTTTGTCTGTGCAGTTTTAAAGATTTGAACCAAATTATTAGTTTTTTATGTATAGTACAAAAAGTTTTTGTAATGTGTTATATTAACTGAATCACCACGTTACTCCATTATATTTTATCTTAAATAGCATTTTATAATTATAATAACATAATTTTAAATTCAGTTAGATAAACATACAATAGGCCAATCTAATCACTGTTCAAAGCACTACATAATGGGCAAAACACAGAATTACAAGTCCAGTCTGATTTTATGCTTATATTGATACACACCTCCAACCATTGTTTGAAAGATAGAAATATACAGTGACATAAAACTTTAATTTTATATGTCGTTTAATGCTCAGATTACGTGACGTGAATTATTATGTGGCGTGAAAGCGTTAGTTATTTGAAAGATTATTCGAGGTTCTTGAGTAGTAATAATCCCAACCTTGGGCATTGATGAATCAGAAACGATTACATACTGTTGGATCGTAAGGAGCAAAAAATTTTAAGTTCACACTTGTTTGTTATTAATGCAACATAAAATAGTTACACGATTGCTGTTACATAAACACAATGTTTTGTAAGCTTATAGGAGATATTGTAAAGTATAAGATCCTCCTTGTGGTAAAATAAGAGTTAAATATACTTAAAAATGTCACAATATACTTTATAAGTAATATGAAGCGTCGTGATCCTTTTTGGGATTTCTTGTATCTTAATAAGTTGTATTACAAGCATGTTTAGGATGTGCAGCATGAAAGTTTATAACGTATAAAAAATAGTGTCTAAATATAAAAATGTACAGGGACATTACTGAGGCAATATTTACTGTTTGTTCTGTATTACATCCGAGCAAAAACAACACATACACACACACACACACGCACATATATAAAAATGTGTGTGCGCGTGTGTGTGTATATATGGAGAGATGAAGAAACTCGCGTAAGTGTCATAATAACAAAATAATAATAATAATTCACCGGATTTCCCAAAAGTCTATTTTTATTGTTATTTCATGATTTACGGATACTACCCCCTCTACCCTATGAGAAGAAAAAATCAAAATAACATCTAGAGCTTAATGAGTGAAGAAAAACAATCTTTCAAATTTAGTTATATGTGTTAAAAATACAATAAAAACCAAATAAACCAAACGATTATATAAAGTAGAATGTTTTGAACAGCAAACAAATTATAATAAAAACCAAATAAACCAAACAGCTATATAAAGTAGAATGTTTTGAACAGCAAACAAATTACAGTAAAAACCAAATAAAACAAACAACTATGTAAAGTAGAATGTTTTGAACAGCAAACAAATTACAGTAAAAACCAAATAAACCAAACAACTATATAAAGTAGAATGTTTTGAACAGCAAACAAATTACAGTAAAAACCGAATAAACCAAAAACTATATAAAGTAGAATGTTTTAAACAACAAACAAATTACAGTAAAAACCAAATAAACCAAAAACTATATAAAGTAGAATGTTTTGAACAGCAAACAAGTTACAGTAAAAACAAGCTTACTCGTCGACCATCAAACTAATGTACACATGCAGGTAAGCCGATTACTCGCAGTTAAGAAATTTAAGTCATCATCTAGGTTTACCAAAAAGCGGCCTCTGTGCTTAACCAGTCACGATAATCAAGCATGAGACGTTTATAAACCAATTTCAAATGGAAAATCGTGTATGCGGATGAGTTACCGATGACTAACATAAAATGAATATGGGTTTATTTTAACGTGTTTCGTCAAAACATGTTTGTTGACAACATTCTCGTTGGAGAAAGTTAACAAAATCCTTAAATTAGAAG